TGGGGACCATTAAAGACTAGCAGAGGTATTGGAGCCTAAGCTTGCGGGGGGATGCATCCGACGAAGTGGGCATGCACTGTTAGTCTTAAAGGTGCCACAGGACTCTCAGTCTGGATCTGTAAAAAGCAACAAACACGGCTACCCCTCTGATAAATAGTACCATAGCGCTACAGCATGACTAGAACTATTTTACAGCATGAAAATTAGCAATGCTACATGGTGGTATAGACTGCATTTTAAGTCTGCAAGCATAGGACTCCCACTGACCTGAAAAAATTACCTCTTCCACTGTACACTAATATTGCAAGAAACAGCCTCTCTAGAAAAATAAACAGGAAATATGTTCTCTAACTTCCAATAAATGCTAGTGTAGATCATTAATAAAGTATATACATAGACCCTCTCTAAACCTGAGGGCTACACAGTCAGATTAGCTATCCAGAGCGCCCCTATTATATGTGAACGCTCACACGGTTATCTGAATTTGCTTTTTGGTTTTGCTCCCTATTCTTTTGCACACTGTGTCTCTTTCACTCTCTCTTTGCATTTATTACTAACTTCAAGCCCTGTCTCTTGCTCATGGACTGTAGCGCTTAAAGGCTGAGCTGAATGATATGCGTCCAAAGGTGGACTCTGTGCGTGACCAGGCAGTAGACTTGATGACAAACCGTGGAGATCACTGCAGAAAAGTAATAGAGCCTAAAGTGTCAGAGCTCAACCAGCGATTTGCAGCTATATCACAAAGAATTAAGAGTGGAAAGGTAGGAGGAACTGCTCCCATGTGGAGACGCATGCTAAGTGGTGCTTTACGGAAGGTGCATGGCCCTACATAGGGGGAATCAAATTCCCCCAAACACATTTTTCAAAGGAACAATAAAAAGATGCATAATTAAAATGTAAATATTAAGAATGTGGGAAGGAAAAGTGAGTTGGGGTGTGTGGGGGGGTGGGGGGGTGGAGTTCGTCATGTTTATTCTGTTATCATTTCATAGTTAAGTATTTTCATGAGCTTGTAACTCATCTTTGAATATGTGTTCAAGAATTAAACGAAGCACACAAGGTATCTACTCAGGAACAAAGTTTATTAAACACAGAGAGACATCAGCTGTCTTTTTAAATTATAAGGATTGAAAACCTGGTCCCATCCCAAAGTGCAAATTAGTAGTTATAGACTATACCAATGGAATAATTATTTCTTAAGCATGTATATCACCATTGGGACTCCTATGATTTTTTTGCTCTTCCCACAACTTAAAATGGCCTTTTTCTTAGTATGATTTTTTTTCAATTACATTTATCCGGTCTTTTTTCTTTCAAACTCTGACTCAACAAAGTTCTTTATATTTTCATCAACTTCACTTGGATTACTCATCTGCTTAAAGTTAGGCGCTGGTTTAAGTACTTTGCTGAATGTGGTTTTAATGTGGAATAGGTAATTTTTAGTCAAATTTTGGCCGGGTATGTGTGGTGTGGAACATGGTTCAAAAATTACCTAATCCACATTAGACCACCATGCATCCTAGGTAGCATCATGGAAGAGGAATCAGGGTGTATCCTCTACTCAGGGCAGGTAGAAATGCAAGAGCAAGGAATAGATGGAACCTTCTCTCCTACCCCAAACCCGAATGCACCATTTGTTGTAGCTGCTCCAATGTGTCAGGAAACCTGCTCTGGCTGAGCTTAGACTTGCTACAGTTTATTCCTCCCACGTGGGAGAACCAAGAGGGAGTTTGTAATTCTGGGTGACAGGCTTCCTCCCAAACTGCAATGATCGGCTGCCCCTTGCTCCAGGCAAATTCGGTAATCGTTATCTGTTCCTTCGATATTCAACCAAAGCAAAACAAAGACTTGTAGTTATAACAATAAGCTACATACATGTGAGTTTTTTGTAAGAGTGTTTTAAATATGTACCTGCATTAAGGCAGCTGATTTATTTTAATTGTTAATATATCATCATAGTTCAGTACCACAGAGCTGCTTGGTATAGAGTTGTTTAAATTCATTTTTGATTAAAACCATTATGCTATGGGATTTTTATCTCTTTAAATCATCCAAAAAGCAAATATGATTATAAACTAAACTGGATTTGAAGGCATTAAGGCCTGCAGGCATTTTAAGTAATGGGGCTTAGGAAAGGGCGAGAGATTTTAACAATCGGATGGTGGTTAGGACAACTATATAAATATAGTAGTATTATATTACCAGTGGGCTAAACTATTTTCTTAGCCATGAAAAATAATAAAGCATAAAACAATTAAGGAAAGTTAAAGTCCTGGATCAAGTAAAAATTATTATAAAATAGTAATCAAAACATAGGAGTTTATCATTCATAGTTTTACTCTCATCTCAAAAGCCCCACCGGGAGCATGGCATTTTTCCCTTGGCTGAAAGGACTGTGGGGCTTGCTGCCAAACATGAGAGATTCCTGGGAATCCACAAAGATCTGCTGTAGGCTAGGGCTTATTGTTACCAATGTCTGGTGCCTCTGCACTGGCTCCAGTACCAGTGGCTTCCTGGAAACCAGACTTTATTGCTGATATGCTATCATGGACCTCCGAACTGACTCTAAACACCACAGGGAGGCTTTTGTGATATTCAAGGGAGGAGAAACAATTGCACAGAGGAGGACCAAGGGCCATTTCCACATGAAAGGGGAGGGATCCAGGCAAGATTGGCCCCTCCATGTTGAAATGAAAGGGAGATGATTTGAGCCAATGGGCCAAATTCTGTTTTTAGTTCTCATCAGTGACCCTCACCTCTTGACATCACTGGACCCCTAACCTTGTATCACAGATTTGAATTTAGCCTTATATCTTGAATGAATGTCAGGAATAGAGGAGAAGGAACTTCAAAAATAATTCTGTATTGAGGTAGGATATAGTGTGTCTACTCAAGGTATGTTAACCTGAGATTTCTTGGAATGATTTATCCCCTGCTTTATACAAAAGTCTACATTGCTATATCTCTCTTCCACATTTTGGCTTCATCTTTATACCATAGAATAATTGACTGTGAATTAAAAGATGCTTTGTTTTTCATTCTGAGTCTTCCTGGTAAAAAAATATAGATGTTTTCATTTTGTAATATAATAGATTTTTGTGACTTGGTCTTGCATATTAAGTACAGTGCATACCTCTTTGGAAAGCAATTGCTGAAGTATAGAACTTATGGGTCAACATAGCCTTCATTGTTGTGAAGTATTTGGGTCTGCATTTGGTGACAGAATAGAACCTCACAGTGCCACACTAGAGAGATCTCTTGGGGCAGTGGATCTACACTACCCTCTGAGTTCTCTTATAAACACAAAATGGAGCAACTTTAATTGACAGCACCTGTATTTACCAGGGACTGCATCCATATCAACAGCACCTGAAGATCAAAGGCAGCTAATAAATTTAAAAGAATCAGCAGGGGCATTTCTTCTTCATCCATCCTGGTGGGAGACCAATGATTAATGTAACCAACATATTTGTGCCATAGCCAGTTTTATTATAGCTCACTGTTAAAAATGGAAATCATTCTTCATAAGAAAAGAATGCATTACCATGAAAGAAAATATGAAATAATGTGGAGTTGGTTTCCCTTGGTGTTTGCTTCCTTGAGAAATTTAAACATAGTAATTATGGCATACTAAAGTGTGCTCTTTACAATTCTATTTTGTCTGTCACAAGAAGTTATTGCGTCGCATATTGAAGAATCAAGAAATTAACAGCAACTTTCAGTTTGCATCATTTAAATCAGGACTTTATGACAGCGTTAACTCAGATTTAGCAGAGATTTGTTCAGAATTCATGAGAATTGAGCTCATGGCTTCCTCACACATCAGTGGGAGACTAGACCCCAAAGCTATTTGAACATGATAGTCTACTGGGTGGGGGAGGAGAGAAATCAAAGCATACCTCATTTCATAATATGAACAAGTGCTAACAATTTCCTGCTTTTATTATTTCTGTAGTCAATCATACATTTTTATCTGAGTGGTTTCCAATTGTGTAACTTCAAAAATGTGTAAAAGTTATTTCATAGTCTTCCCTGATCGAGAACACAGTTGTTGTCACTGTGTTAGCTTGTTTGACCTATCTACATCTTTCCTTTGCTGTACTACACAACAACAAATGTGTGTTCATTTTCAAAAAGACATTTACTTTCAAATCAGTAATTGTGAACATTATGAATTTAAAAGAAATTAATCGTACGTGCTGTGTGGATCTATAGCAAAATAAATTCAACATAAGGTTATGCCACTGAATCCAAACAAGTTCTGTTGATACATAATGCACAGCTGTACCATATGGTGCATGCTGAATACATGTTTTAACATACTAATAAGCAATGCTAAAGTTATAACTGCTTTCAGAATGCTAATGTAATCAATATATTTTCCTATCCCTACTATACTTGTTAACATCATCCTGAGCTTAAGAGGAGACTCTAAATGGCCTAGTAAAAAGTAGGTCCAACTTCTAATCACTTTTTTTTCATTTTGGTCATTATGGTACAAGTGTTGTTGGACTGATAGGGAATATTACATCTTTGATTTATTGAAATACTGAAGGACCTATTATAAAAAATGTGTTCATCTTCCTCCAAATGTAGACTTGTTCTCTTCAGTATGGGATCAAGTGCTTTCTCTTGCTGAGCACTTAATTTCTGAAGTAATGGGGATTCCCCACTTTCTTTGGAAAGCTATTGCACAATCTACTTGACCTCACGGTTTCCCGTTAACCTGCATTTTCCTGTGCGCAGTTTTATCCCATTACTCCTGCTTACAAACTAAACCATTCCTCTTCAGCCTTGGTGTTTGTACCATTCATATACTTGTGTCACATAAGTAGTCACATAAACCTAGACATATTTCTTTTGTGTAATCTTGCTTTATAAGCCACTGTAATACATCAGTTATTTCTGTTATTTTTCTCAGAGTTACCTCCAGTAAGTCAACTTCTTACTCATAGTGAGAGTCACATGCCTGCACGTAGTGCTGGAGGTACAGTCTCACTACTGTTCTATATGGGAACTGTCATCTTATTATTTATACTACAGTAGATTTTAGAGGACTCAAACAAGATCCGGTCCCCATTGTGCTAGGTGCCATACAGACTCACAGAGACAGCTTACAATTTAAATAGATAAAGACAGACAAAAAGTGTGAGGGGAACAGAAGCACAGGTAGGTGATATGTCTTGCCTATGGTCCCACAGCAGGTCAGTGGCAGAGTTAGGATTTAGAGACCAGTTCCCTATCCACTGGACCATGATACCTCTGTAACCTGGCCAATCCATGAGAAGACATTTCTGTTTGTGCAGTAGAAAACGAAATTGACTTTTTATGTCCTATGACACAACACTCACATGAGTTTCTCACAGAGTCATATGCTAAGTAACCAAATCTTGAGTTCAGAGAGCTATTTATTTTGGTGGGTTTTGTGTGTGTGTAAAGTTGCTGTTGGAAGCCAGATGGAGAAGCTTTTCAGGGAATTTGACACTGAGTATCTTTAGTGCTAATACTTCTACCTCCCCCCCCCCACAATATCTAATAAAGCTCCTTGTTCAGTCCTATATGAAATTGACTTTCAGTGATTATTTACCATTGTTACATGACATGGTTTCAGAAGCTGACTCATTTTAAAGCAGCGTAAATGGAAGGAAAATCAAATGCTAAAATTCAAATTACTACAAGATTTTCCATTTGATAGATCCAGTGAATGCTCTGAATGGAAGGTACACTGAACCCGAGTCCAAACAGCAGAAAAAAACCCACACACCTGAACACAGAGAATGGCAAACTACAGGTCATCTCATCAACCAACGCAGTAGCAACAGAGCAAGAAATATTTATATATTATTTACCTTTGCTAAGGAAGGATATAAGTATGTCTGCTTATTTATGAGAATGATATTGCAATCTCACAGTCCTTCCAGGATGACACATTGAAAAGAATACATGTGTATAGCAGGATCTCACCAAATGCAGATAGTTCAGCCTCACTCTCAGCATGGTGGTCTACCATAGAACATCAACTAATTTGAAGGTGAAATTGTGCGAGTCATGTGGAAAGGCCAGAAGGACTCCACTCAAAGAATCTCTCTTACCCACAAGCCCAAAATGTAATCCACCCCCCCCCCCAAAAGTTGCACTGCAGAGATCTCATTGTAACAGATACAAAATAAAGATTTGAGAACATTACTGAACAGGGCGTAGTATGATGTTGCTAAATAGGGGCATAACATTAAAATATATAATTTTAAAAATAGTTCATTGCATTATTGTCCTATCATGTGAGATGTCTTAATGCTGTGACACTTGTACAGAACATTTCTACAAATTGAGCAAATAACTTTAAAGTAATTATCTTATTATAGTTCACTGTCCTTGATTAAAGGAAATGACTTTAGTGGTGGCTGGACACCCACAACTCCACCTGAAATTAGCAAGGCAGCATGATCCACTGGATAGTACACGGAGCTAGGAGTCAAAAGACTGGGGTTCTACTCCTGGGTCTGCCACTGACCTGCTCTGTAAACTTGGACATATGACCTTATCCCAGATGAAATAGAGATACTGATACTTTCCTTTATGAAATTCTTTGGGATTCATGGACTGAAAAACTGTATATCCTAAGTAGTAGTAGTAGTTATTTACTCAGTATAAGTTGAGGATGTTGAAATAATTTTCTCAAGAGCAAGTCAAGGTAGAAATCGATGAGTTGTAGTTTCATGCTAATTTTATCATAAAATTATAAGTAGAGGGTGAGGAATCACATGTGATTTTATTTGTTATAAACTCACCAAAAATATGACAATAATTGAATACTTTTTAACATACATCTTACATTAACAAATTTATTATGTCACGATCTACTAAAATATATATATATTTTTTATGCATTTTACCAGGTTCTGCCTTTTCATTTCATTCATTTCCTTCTACTTGCCTCTTTCAGTTTTTCCTTGTCAGCTTTTGCACAATTTAATCATGTTTCTGTATTTCCTGTTCTTGCTTCCTTTATTGGTGAAATTTAAATAACTTTAAAACAAAAGAAAAACCAATCTTCAAAGCATTTGAGGGGAAACTATTGATTTGTTTAACAATTCTTCCACTTCAATTGTTGACTACTCTGAGCATAATTCTGTATATCTTGGTAAAATCCTGTTGAGCCCAATGTGTTAGAAACATAATGCCTAAAGTAAATCATTCTACAGTTCTTTAAAAAAATTTTAAGCCCAAGAAACCTTCAATGCTAAAATTACTAATGGCATCTTTCTGCTTAATTTTGGTTTCCCCTATATCTATTTAGTAAAGTACGATTTTTAGAATCATTGAAACATTGCATGTTGTTCAAATAATAGTGGTAAAAGTATATCTTATACAACACTCAAAATATTTGTTTATTAAATATTAAATAACTAAGATATGACTCATACCTGTTAATGTCAACAATATTTAATAATGAATTTCTGCTTTATTAAATCAATATACAATCCTTGTACAAAATATGGTATATATTTCTGTTGCAACTTCTGGAAAAAAGCATAAGATAGTGGTTGAGTTTCCCAAAAGCTACCAAGCCCCAGCTGAAACCAAACTTGTTATACCTCCAGGACAAGTGTGTGAGTGAGAATTCCATAGACATCCCCCCCACCCCCCAAAATAACAAATATCTTTTAATTTCATTTCTCATCTCCAGTCAGTAGTGCTTTACATGGTTGGCTGGTTGGTTGGTTTGTTTGAAACTGACACAGTTTTGAAAGCATTAATTGGCTTTTGGGATTACCATGGTCACCAGGAATATGTTGGACTAAATGTTGGAATTAATGCTGAACAAAATACAAAAGCAGAAAGTAGTAAAAAAAAATCAATGGACCTGACTCTACAAATACTCACATGAATACTTCAGTTGTGTAATTGGAGTTCTTATATAAAAACAAGTTTGCAGGATGGAGCCCAATTGCCATAGTACAACTGTCTCATGACCAATGAAAATATAATTATTATTACTTATTTGTGTTGTTGTATTACCTAGACACCCAAGCCAAGCTTAGAGTCCTGTTGTGCTAGTCATTATACAAACACATAGTGAGAGCTCAAAGAACTTACAAGCTAAATAGAGAAGAAAGGGAAAGTGTGTCAGGGGAAACAGAGACACTGTTAGGTGAAGTGAATTTTGTTCAGGGTCATACAGCAGATAAATAGCAGAGCCAGGAATAGACTCAAAGTCTATTGTCTTTCTTAATCTAGCGCCTATCCCTAATAATGTTCTTACTGAATTATTTTGATTGTGGTGATCTCGCAACATATTGCTATTGCAGTATAGATGATACCAATTGAATATACCTCTTCTTGGGGGATAAAGGAAGGTTTCACTGGTACTTAATACACTGACTATAACAAGTGGGTAATTTTGCATCTGGCATCTGAAAGTATCAATCATTTAAAAAGATACTTTTAAGTCTAATTTTTATGCAAGAATCATCAAGAAAGAATCAAGTGTTTATAGAGTTAAACAAAGAAAGCTTAGTCTGTTAATCGTTTGATATTTTATCTCATAATAAACTCTTGAAATACACTCATGAATTTATATTAAATTGTAAATATGCATTCGTACATCATTTTTTTCCCAAATGGTGCATAAAGGAAAACAAAAGGAAAGTTTGCTTATTGTTGTTCATAAGTAGCCATTACTCATTTTTAAATTCAGAATTAAAGGCTGTGGTAATAAGATTAAATATGATGATTTATATAAGACAGTAGCAAAGTTTTTTGCCTGAGTTTGATACATTTCTCAGTGACTTTTTTGAAATACAAGCCTTATTTATGAGGTTTTTTGAATACATCATTAGAGAAATATCTATGTAGGTAAATGAGTTGTGTATTAGATAAGTTAGATACTGTATAACAATCATATGATCCTTTGGCCCTGCTTTATGACAGAGAAATTATTTAAGAATAGTAAAAAAAAATACCATGTAATTATTCTCAATTTAAGGTAATTGTATGTGGTTAGCCATTTGAATGTGAATGTTTTGTCTTGTGCTGTGTGAGTACTTTCTGACAGACCAGACTTGGTCAAACAGCATTAACATCTAATTTTGTAGAAAACTGTTATATAATATTATTTACTAAACATTTTTTTTTTTTGAAAATACGGATGAGGGAAGATCAGGACTTATTTTCTCTTTGTCTTCACTCACCATAAAATTATTACATTATTTTGCTATTCATTTTACTACAATATTACTAAATGTTTATATTTATTGGCACCTTTAGATACTTTGACTAGTTATGTTGAACATATTTTGTAACATATTAGCTGGAAACATAATGTGTGCTATTAGTTTAGCAATAGGGGGTAGAGCAGATGTCTCCTTTTGGTTTATGTTTCTAATAAAAATATTAAGTTTGTGATTTAAATTGGCAATCTCTCTCTCTCTCTCTTTTTGTAGCCTTTCATTCCTTTGAAGGAATTGGAGCAGTTTAACTTTGATATGCAAAAATTGCTTGAACCACTGGAGGCTGAAATTCAGCAAGGGGTGAATCTGAAAGAGGAAGACTTCAATAAAGATATGGTAAATTGGTTGTGATGGAAGTATGAATGAACTAGGAATGGAAGTGAATAAAAAAGCTTGGGCAGAAATTAGAAACCTTTGCATTTGGATCTTTACACTGGACATAGACAAATGCTAATTATACTGATTTATTATGAACTCGGTGGGCCCAGTTTAGCATTTATTGTTCCGAGTAATACTTTAGTTTTAGTGACATTTGTTTATGGTTAGGTATTGTACAAAGAAACAATTCTGTATTAACTCATGTGTTTATCAGTACTGTAGAGCAAACCTCAAGGCAGGCTAGATTTTGTACTAATACCAGTGATATTTAATATAATTATTAATGAGATGAAAAAGGGAGTGACAAGTGAAGTGGCAAAATTTCCAGAAAACATTTAATTATCTGTAGTAGAAAAGAATGTATTGTCAGTTTGATGTAGAAAAGAGAGGCAATTGGACAATGCAATGACAGAAGAAATTCAGTGTAGACAAATTCAAGTTTTATGTTCATTGGAAGAAACAATATATGATTTCGAAGTGCACCAATGAATTCTACATACATCTGGTCATGTTTATTGAAAAACATTTGCAATGCATTTAGCCCTTTAATGATTCACCAATACCATTCTCTAAAAATGGATTTGCTATTTTTATGCAGTGAATACCATTAGGACAATAGGTGAAGGAGCTTCAACATTAAAAGAGTTTAAAACAATGGGGTGCTCTGCCACTACTACTATCCTGAGGAATACTGGACTGGGACCCACTTTTAGGCTCTTGTCAGTAGGGTTGCCAACTGTCTAATTGCACAAACCCAAACACCTTTGCCCTGCCCCTTGCCCCACCCCTTCACTGAGGCCCCACCTGCCCTCCATCCCCACTCCTTCTGTTGCCACCCTCCCCCATCCTCATTCACTTTCACTGGGTTGGGGCAGGGGGTTGGGGTGTGGGAGAAGGTGAGGGCTGGGGGGTGGGGTTGAGGGGCTTGGAGTGTGGGAGGGGACTTCAAGGTGAACCTGGGCCAGGGGGTGCAGAAGGGGGTGCGTGGTGTGGGCTCTGAGAGGGAATTTGGGTGCGAGGGGGCTCAGGGCTGGGGCAGGAGGGGGTGTGGGGTGCAGGCTTTGGGAGGAAGTTTGGGTGCAGGAGGGGGCTCAGGACTGGGGCAGGGGATTCATGGTGTTGGCTCCGGCTGGGCAGAGCTTACCTCAGGCGGCTCCCAGAAGCAACCGGCCTGTCCAGCTCCTAGGCTCAGAGGTGGCCAGGCAGCTTTGTGTGCTGCCCCTGCCTGCAGACACCACCCCTGCAGCTCCCATTGGTCATGGTTCCTGGCCAATGGGAGCTGCAGAGTCGGCACTTGGCAGTAGGGGAGGCAGTGTGGAGATCCCCTAGCAACCTCTGCACCTAGGAGCCGGACATGTCGGCCGTTTCTGGGCACTGCATGGAGCCATGGTAGGTAGGGAGCCTGCCTTAGCCCTGCTGCGCTGCCGACCATACTTTTAGGGGCCTAAAATCTCCCAGATTGTTTTCAAAAGCCACTGGCAGATCATGGCCGATTCCAAGAGACTCCCGGCCAATCCGGGAGGGTTGGCAACCCTACTTTTCAGTGCAATGCCACTCCTTGGCTGGCTAGTGATAATGGTCTTTCTGTATATGCTTGACCCTCTTTCCATGGATTGAGCAGTCTGACTGTTCAGCAAAATCAAATGCCTATCACTTATGAGGAATTGCGGAGCATTATATATTTTTAAACAGATGTTTCAAGTCAGTCATTTGATGTTAATTCTGAAATCAATGTTAACACAGCTGTTTATTTTTTTACAGACAACAATACTAACATTTTACAACAGCGTTCATTAGAGTCATCTGTTTGGAATGCATCAAGCTTACTGCCAGGGGCAGATCTTCAGCTGGCATAAATTGTCAAAGCCCCATTGTGCCCCAAAGTCTTTTTAAAGAATATAGTTTAGTACATACATAGAGTAGATTTCAAATGATAAAATCCCCATGTTTAGTGGTATAAGGTTGACTTTACCTTTTCCACAGACAATCTAAGAGGTATTTTCAAAGATTGCTTCCGTAAAGAACTTTTTTCATTTTTCAGTGTTGGTGTATTTACCATGAATAGTGATTATTCAATTATAGAAACATTCACCCTTGAATCAACTTCATCCTACTGAAGGTTAAACAAAGAACTGCTGCTTGGGGTTCTTGTGCTCTTCTTTTGTGGTGCTGTGCACTTTTTTTAAAAGTCTGAATTTCAACAAAAGATTGTAAAAACACATCAGTTGGTATAACCCATGGTTTAGAAATTTACTTTTGTTTATTGTTTAATAAAGAGAGAATATTTCTTATGTGGGGAGAGTAATGTTTTTCAAAACTTTTTGAACTACTCATAACTTCTGGCCATTGCATGAAATCTAATCTCAGACATCTGCAGGTTTTCAAGTTCTGCTTTAATTAGACCTTTCAGGAACTTTACACATTTTTGTACTGTAGTTAATAAAAACATTTCATCTCTACTATAAAATTATAAGCACAGGTAAGGCCGACAGACCCCACTCATCGGCGAGTGGGATCGAATCTGTGACCTCTGGAGCTAACTGACTGTTAGCTAAGGCTGTAAAGCAGACTCATTTAACTCTCTCTAAGTGGTCTCAGTGTCACTAGATGGGACACAACACCACACCCAGAAAGTGTGTGGGTTACACACACACTAAGTGATTATTTCCCCTGTGAATGTGTAGGATTTTTATGTATATGTGTCTCCTAGGGTTTATTTAGTTACTAATTAGATTAAAATACACGTTATACCTGTTATTTTTTTAATCAGAGTGAAGACAATGAGGGTACTGTAAAAGAATTGCTGCAAAGGGGAGACACTCTACAGCAAAGCATCACAGATGAAAGAAAACGAGAGGAAATAAAGATAAAGCAACAGCTGTTGCAGACTAAACATAATGCTCTCAAGGTATAAGAGCTAAATTTGTGAACACGTTTCCTAAAATAACATCTTTTTTTGTTGCAGAGCAGTATTCTCCTTGGATAAATGAAACAATTATTCTTTTGCTGCCTAATAATTTTAAACAGTTCAACTCTATGTACATATTTGCTTCCACGTTTCTGGTCAAATGTTTCCAATATCTTGACATGTAAAAAAAAGGTTATTTTAAACATCTCAGTTAAAAAGTAATGTTTTGTCCCTAGAACACTGTAACTTTACACACAGGTGATTGTTGACAATTAGACTAGAAGGATTCAGTTGCCTAACAATATTTTTATAACTCAGCATACATTGTAAATATTTCATCTACCGCACTTTAGACCCCTAACCTTAGTTAGAATCATTTGTCATAAATAATGTTAATTTTGAGGGATTTTTCATTCATTCAATTTAACTTTTGTACTAAACAAAAACAGTAAAGCTTGCTAGCACTGTATGCTTTAACTATCTGACAGTTACAGATGCTGTATGATTTTAGTGGCAATGCTAGAACATTGTATTTTGCATAACTATGATAAGATAGTTTGGACCCTTGTGAGGTTGTAGGAGTTCACTCAGACCAGTAAGAGGTTCTGTCACTGCCTGCCATGTAATCTTGGCCGCCTCTGTGCTGTGCGGCTTTGGCTCAGAGCCGTGATGTCAGCAGCCTGCTTCCAGCAAGATGGTCTCATCCTGGCTTCCACCAACCCTTCCTGACCTTAGTTTCCCCAAACTATCTCCTTGCAGTGGCTAGTCCCTCTTAGTGGACACTCAGAGGTAACAGCAAGTTTGCTGCCCCAAAAGAGCCACTACATAGAACAGCTTGTTAGCTCCGCTGGGTTATATGCGGCACTTTAACAAACAGCCTTAGTAAAACTAACAATAACTTAATTAACAAAGAACAGAGATTTAAGTGATTTTGAGCAAGAGTGAAAGAGGCAAACCAGAGTTGCAAAAAAAAAAAAAGTAACATGCTTTCTAATGTCTAAAACTTAATTCTAGCAAGCCCTAGCTTTGCCTACTGTAGTTTCGTACTCGCATCAAGCTATCAGCATTCGCCAGCCTGTTTTAGCATGTCCCATCTTTCATAGATACAAAGCGCTGGCTGCTTTGTTCTCTCAGGTGATGGATACCCCAAAGTCTTTCAGCAGGTTCTTATGGTCCAAAAGTTTATCTTTGTCTTTAAAGCCAGGAAGCTCTCCTGAGGGCTCAACTTTCTGTGGCCAGTCCACTAGGGAGCTGACACCATGTTTGTGTAAGCGGGGGAAATGGTCCTGCTATTGTCTGGAACTTTCCTGGCTTATACACTACCCCGGTGAAATGGGCTAACGAAAGGATCTGAGTCCTCGCTCCCACTTCCTTTATTCAGAGGCCTGCCTGACCTCAAGGGCTCCCCTTCCTGCCTGGCGGAGTCCTTGTAACCCCAACAAGGCTGGGCCCAGGGTTCCTGGGGGGCTTGACCCCCAACCTTGTTGTGGTCACTTAGGACAGGGGCTGGGGAGTCTCCACTCCGGAGACTCATTACATACAGTTACATACAGTTCAAAGCAAATACACTTTATTAAACAACAATCAATTAAAAAAATAAGGAAAAAAATGGGAAAGGTTAAAGGAAAACATAGAACCCCGCTCTGTGGCATGAGGACATCACAGCCAGCATCTCTGCAATGTAAGGGACGTTCAGTTTGTTACCCACAAGTCCCAGGCCTCCTTCTCAGACCCTGGCTGTGCTGCAGGGATGCTGTGGGTCGGACACTTGCTCTGGCAGTGGCCACACACCTCCGGGCTTTAGGTGGCAGGACCCTTCTTTCCAGTGTTGCCTCCACCCTGTCAGGGTTACAATTCCCCTCCAAGTCTGGCCTGCAAGGCCCCTTGGGTGAGGGCATCTCCCTGTACTGGGCCCGCTGCCCAGGGTCCCCCTTGCTCTCTCCAGCTGCTCACCGCACCCAGCCTCAGCTCCAGCTCCACTCTGCCTCAGCACTGCTGATGCGCTGCCTCCATCTCCCTGGGCTGCTTCTCTGGTGCCTCTTTGCGTCCCCCCCGTCCCCCAGGTCTGCTCTGTGGGATGCTTCTGTGACTCTGAGCCCAGCACTGACCTGCTTCCTGTGCTGCTTTTCTGTCCCCTCTGGCTAGCACAGCTCTGCTCCACAGCTCACCTCGGGCTCCTGCTTTCTCCTTAACTCAGCCCCACTCTGTCTGACCCAGGCAATTCCAGAGGATGGGACCCCCCCTGGCCTCCCAACTCCCTCATTAGCCTGCCCACCCATCAATCAGGCTGTCCTGGAGCATTGGCATCTCTCTATTGTTCCTGGGGACTGTCAGTCTCAGGGTCCTGATTTCCCATAGGCCCTTCCCCTTTCTTTTGGTACTGGGATCTAGCCAACCAAAACACCCCCATTGAGTTTTAATGAGGGTACAACATTTCTTTTGCAGTCTCCTGTGTTTTACACTAAGGCTATGGCTACACTGGCACTTTACAACGCTGCAACTTTCTCGCTCAGGGTGTGAAAAAACACTTCCCTGAACACAGCAAGTTACAGCACTGTAAAGCGCCAGTGTAAACCGTGCCCCAGTGCTGTAAAGTAATCTCCTCATGGAGGTGGAGTACCTGCAGTGCGACCACACTCGCACTTCAAAGTGAGCGCTTTGAAGTTTTGAGTGTAGCCAGGGCCTCAGAATGATCTTCCTGTAATCTCCAATGCAAATGAATAGCCCATTGTCCTTGTCTCCTTCACACCTAGCTCAATTTACAATGGAGTCAAAGTGGTGTTTGCAAAAAGAAGAACAGGAGTACTTGTGGCAGGTGCCACAAGTACTCCTGTTCTTCTTTTTGCGGATACAGACTAACACGGCTGCTACTCTG